ATTAATAGCCCCGACCACTAAGCATTGAAGAAAACCCACCTGCATCTACATTACCCAATCCAATTCCTACACCGAACCCACTATTAATTTGTTCGTCCCCCGTTCTCGCTACCCGTTCAAAAACACTTAAACGATGGCTCCCTACATTTTGGATCGGTTGAAATTGCTGTTGTTGAACAACCGGTGCACCTGGTGCCCTGTATGGATTGTCGGATTGAGAAATACGAACAGACATTATGGCCGGGTCTTGGAGAATATTAGGTAGAGATTCTAATGCAATAAATTATGAAAAGAATTAAATAGGGAAATAGAAAATAAATGTTAAGTTTGTTGTACGACGGAAAGTGACGACAAACCTTCATTAGGTACGTCGTCGTGAGTATTTGTGCTAACTGCTGCAGCCTTTAGGAAAGCTCCGAAAAAGTCCTGGGCCTCATCTCGGGAATGTCGTGTTATGCCCGGTACAAATGGCTGAGTTTGATGTGAGGGAGGATGGGATGGTTGACGTTGCCCATATTCTTCATCAATATTCCATGGTGCATTTTGTGGATTCCAGCCGGTTACACCGTAATCGATTCGAGGGTTTTGTGTGTATATTCCAGGAGGCGGTGATTTTATGGATGGAGCAACATTATTTCCGTTTAATTGCTGATGTTGCATCAATATGCTTTGGTGGTAATTATGGTCCAAACCTGCAGAAGAGTTGGCATTAAGGAGTGATTGAGCTTGATTAATACCAGAAATAGGAACACCAGGGGGTAAACTACGACGCAGTGGCGGAAAGGTAGAAGAATCATTTGAAGTATTCCACATAGCTTCTTGGTGCACATCACTAGGGCCAAAACTTATATTGACGTTGGGAAACAACGCTCGAAATCCTTCTTGTAAATCTTTCGTGGCCAAAGGATCGCTTGATTGTAAATGTGAAAAATTACCATCTTCCTGTGCGAAACCAAATCTAGAAGAATTTCGTGATTTGACGGAATTTGAGAGTGCTTGCGAGTTTATTCTGCCTTCGTTTGAATAGATATCCGACATGTTATTGTTTCCAAGAGTAGGGATATTGAGAACGCTAAGAGAAGGTTGATTTTCGGTGGTAAACGGATCAAATTTATCATCATCAGATGCAAATGGGTTGAAAGGGCCAGTATATGATATAGGTGGCGGTTGAGAAAATTCGGAAGTCACACTAAAGTTAGCATTAGAAACGTCTGTCAGAGGAAAACCGACTCCCGGAGGTGGAGATACTATGCGTGAAGTGCCAACTACTCCATTATCTGGAACAACAGAGATTTTCTTATGTTTTTCTTCAGGAATAACTGAACTATTCAATAACGGTGCATTAAAAGAGAAAGAAAAGGGGCCGTCACTGAGTGCAGACAGAGTTTGATCGAAATCAGCAGATATATCTGACTGTTTGATTGAAAGCAGTGGTGATTTGTCATTTAACTGTTGTGAATTGGTTTCTAGTAGGCTCATCTTATCTGTAGACTTTTCTTCCTTGTTCGATTCAACAGTTAATTGTTGCGCTTGTTCCTTTTCTGCTTCTCGTTCTACATCGTTTCTGTTCGCAACTGATTCGACTGAAACAGGCATTTGTGAAAATTCGGTTTTTTTGACTGCTTTTGTACCCAGGGGTTGCGTATCTGTGGAAACCAAACGCTTCGACTTTTGTTCCTGAATTACTGAAGGTTGTAATGGTGGTGGTGACGATTGTTGTGAATGCGAATTACTTGAGGATGTATTTTGTGAAGATTGCGTTATATGTGAAAATGAAGATTGCGATAGAGAAAGTTGTTGATTATGTAATATAGGCGTCGTTTCTGTACTGGATGGTTTGTTAGCCCAAGAAGCCGTTGGGGGTAAAGCCGAAGCTATTGCCCAAACATAATAATCAGGATATAATTAAGTTAATAATATATATATATATACGAATAGGAGTTGATACTGATAAGCACGAAATCACCTTCTTCTCTTTCGTCATTACTTCCTTTGTCAATTTCTAATCCAAGCGCCCGATGTGGAGGGGGTGCCTCTGTGTTCTTTTTAGAATGTGGCGGTACACTATGTGAGGTTGTGGGATGTGATGGTACAGTATGAGAGATTGTGGTGTGTGGTGGCGGATTACTATGCGGTGGAAATACACTAGGCGGTCCTGATGAGGGTGGTCTTCCCAATTGGTTGAGTTTATGTGATTCGGTACTTGTGTGTTCTTTGAGATGATATTTACTAAAGAGATAATCATGTTAACTTTTTTTGATTTGATTTTTCTTTGATAAATAAACTTACACAGAAGCCAAATCTTCTTTCGTAAAACTGTCAGCTTCTTCGCCAGGTTCATGCAGGTACATGCAATTTGGATTTTGACAGACCATGTTGCGTAGATAATATGTACAATACTTTGTAGTACCATATGATGCCCTACAATAAAGGTGTCAACATATTAAGCAATTCAAAAACAATAAATATTCCACCTCGTTATAAGGTTATAATAGAATAAGGATCAACCTCAGCACTTTTCCATCCGACATGCTGCCATCTACCGCAGCTATTGCTCGTGCCGCATCTTCTTTTCGTACGTATGTAATATAAACACCAACACTAGGTTGAGGCGATGGTGCGCCAGGGACAGTCGACGGCGGAGGATTTCGACGATTGACAACGATTTTGGCAATCTTTCCGTATTGACCAAAGTAGTCATGCGACCGAAGTATCTTTAAGAACAACGCGAGTTGAGTGCGGGTTTTGACAATTCAATAATTACTGACATTCATCAAACATGGAGAAAAGGCGATATTTGTAATCATCGCCTACCTCCTCATTCGCAATCTTCGGGCTAAGGCCAATTACGTAAACTAGATTCTTTTGCACCACTCTCATGTTGGATAGATGTTTTCTGTTCATTGCTTCGAGCTCCTTCTTTTCTCGTTCCTTTTGTTTTTTTTCATTCTTAATCCGCGCTAGCCTATATATAACAAAACAAGAATAATAAGGATAGCGAAACATAAGACAATGATAAAGAAATAAATATCCGTTTTTAAATAAAATTTTGTTCAATAAAGGCAAGACTAAACCGAATATAAATATTATATAAAATAAAAATCCGAGTAAAAAATTCCAACATACTCTTCAGCTGATATAGGTTTAAATTCAATAGTTTGCTCAGAATATACCCTACGACAAGCAGGACAACGACCGTTCATATTCTCTTGAATGTGATGCCAGCAGAATCGACAGATCTTAATTTAAAATGAAAATACAGATGAAATAGAATTTTGACTTCGTTGACAAATATCATTAGGATATTCCTACAATCACAAAAAAACTGATAGGAATGCGAAGCATTCTCAATTGACTAATGTTATATGACAATCCTCTTTGAAGAAAAAAAGGATGTTGCATATAATCTCACCTGATAACCACAAGGGCATGGTCTGAAATTCCTGTCTGATAGATCCATCTCCTCCATGCAGAGAGGACACTGAAATTCTTCCTCATCAGAATAGTACTCGGTTTTCGACATTCTTACAAGTGTCTTCCTTATATCTGTGGGAATTTTTTTTGTTGAAGTACTCACTTCACAAACGCGAGAAGAAACTTGAAGAAAAAAAAATGTTAAAAAAAAAAAAAGTGTACTTCTTAAAAAATATCTATTTGGGAGTTGGTAAAGTCTTTAAGGTATACGCGTAGATATTTCTTTCCTTAATATAGGTTAGCAGGAGATATATCAGTCAAAGACTGAGGAAATGAGGAAGTTGCAAAATGCCGTAATATGAGAGAATTTACCTGACTACTTTTGAGAGCAAAGAGGAAAAAAAAAAGGGTATTGGACTAATTCCCTATAACACAAGTCCGTAAATTTTTATAATCTACACTTACCTATTTTAGTAGGCCATAGTGGTGC